CCTGGATTTTAGAAGAATTTCTCTAGTATTTGCAAACACTAATCCTACTTTTCTGCTCCTTGGCTTGAGGGCTGAGAGGGGAGCATAATGAAAGCATAAAAGCCTTGCTGCATCAAACCATAGGTCCATGTAGTGTCACATATAGTGGCTATCTAACTGCATTTGGAAGTGGGTGAGAGAAGCTGCCATTTTTAAAACATGCGTTCAGACTGAAACTGACAGTTTTGGACTATCTGATATGGAATACATATGGAGAAGTTAGAGTGAAATTTAGTGCATGAGTGGTCTTTGTTGTCCCCCCTCAGTATTTAGTGTTTTCTTCTTTTGCGAGCTCTACACTTGAATGTTACTCATGTTAGTGATTTTGATTGAGGCTTCTGGTTGTAAAAAAAGCTGAGAACATTGCTGTGCTCATATTTTGAAATGCAAAAACATGCAAACTGCTGCTATTCATCATTTTCATTTGAATTGTTTGAAAGTGTGCTGGTAGTATTTTGTTTTTAGATATTCCTTTTTAAAAATTAAAATCCATTTTCTTCAAGTCCTAGATGAACATTTGCATTGATAGAACACACAATTTATCATTTGATAATTACTGTCCCCTACCTACCTCTTCCTTGTTATTTACTATCATGTGAAAGAAAGTTGATGTATTTTGCTTCTACCAGTCTCCAGAGAACAATTACCTGGAAGGATCTGTTTTTTAAGTTTGGGATTTTTCTTAAAATAGCCACAAACACATGAATTATCGTATGAAAATAGAGCTTGCAACAGATGGCTATCTCATTTGGCAGTGTTTAATTTAATTTATGGAAGCTATTTTTCTATGCATGTAGGAACTAACCAAGACTTATAAATACATTAGCATGCTCTCACTTTGCATTTTGCATACTGTATTATGACTCGTAAAAATTTTGTTGATAGAGCTCTTCAAAATCATTTCAGAAGAGAGCCAGTTTGGTGTAGTGGTTAAGATGCTGGTCTGAAAACCAGTTTACTGTGAGTTCTGCTATAGTTCTGCCTTAGGCATGAAGGCTTACTGGGTGACTTTGGGCCAGTCACTCATCCCAAGAGTTGTGGGAAAAATAGGAGAAAAGAGTATTAGGTATAACCACCACTTAGAATTACTTACAAAGTAATAAAAGTGGAATGGGAAATCAAATAAATAAATAGTAGACCTTAATGGAAAAGTTTGAACAATTGGAGCCCTGGATAAACAAGGATTTATTAGTTCAGCAGAAAGTACCGTATTTATCGGCGTATAACACGCACTTTTTCCCCCTGAAAATAGGGGGCAAATGATGTATGCGTGTTATACGCCGATGTCCCGTTCCCAATAGTGCCTAGCGGCGGCGCAGCGTCGTGACGCTGCGCCCGCCGCATATTAAAGGGAATGCGTGTTATACGCCTGTGCGTGTTATACGCCGATAAATACGGTAACAGTGGAAGCAACTTTCAATAAAAATGACAGACAAGCAGAAGACAAGCCAGTAGATGTGAAGCAGATAGGAAGTAAAGAATATAGGAAACACACTGTCCTCCTGGGTGTCAGAAACAAACGATGACTGATTCAGCAGGTTCTGTCATTGTAAAAAGTTGATCCAGTATAAGCTGTTTGTCTGCTTTGGCTCCCAACTACCCACACAGAGCCTCTGGCATCTCTTTACACCTTAAAGTTACATGATGAGAGGCAGCTTCTGCCATTTCCATCCTGCCTTGCTTCTGAATAAAGTATCCCCTACTGAACAGTTGTGTTTAACTTATGCTTCTGGAAACAGGATTTTACAAGCCGGTAGAAAGAAAGCTAGTGTTCCAAAGTATATACAGGTAGCCCTCAACTTACAACATTTTATTTAGTGACCATTCAAAGTTACAATGACACTGAAAAAAGTGACTCATGACTGTTTTTTACACTTAAGACCACTGCAGCATTTCTTTGTTCACATGATCAAAATTTGGAGGCTTTGCAACTGATTTGTATTTATGTAGTTGCAATGTCTTGGAGTCATGTGATAGCTTTTGTAATCTCCTGACAAGCAAAGTCAATGGGGAGGCCAGATTCACTAAACAACTGCAGTAATTCACTTAACTGTGGCAAGAAAGCTCATAAAATGGGGCAAAACTCACTTAAATGTTTCACTTAGCAACATAAATTTTGGGCTCAACTGTGTCTTAGTCAAGGACTACCTGTTCTTGTGATTTGCTGCCTTGCTGAACCTTACTGATTACATGCAGAGAAATACAGCATATCATGATTGAATGATGACAACTCGAGTGTTTAAATTTTAAGCTCTAAAGAGTTAAAAGAAAAGAAAGGAAAAAACCCAAGAAATCTCAAATAGTCCTAACAAATTGGGGCAACTTAAAATAATGTGGAATAATTTACAAAGAACCCACTGAGGCAGTTCCACCCCTCACTGAAGATATATTTGTATTGATTTTGGTACGATCAGTTATAGGGAACTTACAAAATATAATTTTTGCAGTTGTGATTCTTCTCCCTTTCTGTTTTTTCTTTTCCCCTATATATTTACCCCACTTTTCTTTCATTAAACTGACGATTAAAAAGATACTCCTTCATTAAAATTTATTGTATTTTTGTTTCCTATTGGTTTTGTATAATATTTACAGTAACAGTTAATGTTAATTTCTGTAAAGGGCAGTAGGATTGCATTGCAATATTTGATTACTGCCAATTGGAAATTAGATATTTAATTTTATCACGGTAATATTAGTACCGTATATACTCGAGTATAAGTCGACCCGAATATAAGCCGAGGCACCTAATTTTGCCACAAAAAACTGGGAAAACTTATTAACTCGAGTATAAGCCGAGTTTTTCAGCACATTTTTTATGCTGAAAAAAAACCCCTCGGCTTATACTTGAGTGAGATTCCCTCTGAAAGAAAAATGGTGTGGAGCTCCGGAGCTGGGCAGCCGCTTCCCTGCTTCCGTGTTTCCTTTGCAACTTGTAAGCATGGGGGTAATCGGAAGCAGAAAAGTTCTTGCATGAGGATATATTGTTTTTTCT